GCTCCTGAGGTTGGAGGAGGTGATCCTTGAATATTACCCAGCTTTCTTGGGGCCCTCTTCCCTCCAGGGCTTTATCCCTTGGCATTCTACCAAGCAGATCCCTGAGGAGGCCAAAGTCTGCTCTCCTGAAGTCCAGGGTAATGAGCTTGCTGTGCGCCTTCTTCAGTGCCCTCAGGATCTTGAACTGAACCATTTTGTGGTTGCTGCAGCCAAGGCTGCCCTTGAGCTTCACGTTCCCCACCAGCCCCTCCTTGTCAGTGAGAACAAGGTCCAGCATAGCACCTCTCCTCGTTGGCTCCTCCACCACTTGGAGAAGGAAGTTATCATCGACGCATTCCAGGAACCTCCTGGATTGCTTATGCCCTGCCGTGTTGTCCCTCCAACAGATATTATTTCCCTGCCGGGCAGATTCTGAGGAACATCTTGTCATATGGGCTCTTTTGGAAAGCCAGTGAGGTGGAGCTATTTGTTTAGCAGCAGGAAAATCAATCAAACAAAAACTGTTGGAGATTCCTGGAAGGGCAGCAACAAGGGCTGGTCAGAAACTCCACCGCATGGCAGTCACGACCAGCAGAAGGGGAGTAAATGCCTCTTGTTCTTGTTGGGTGCTCTTCCATCTGCTTCAGCTGCATGTAATGGCCCTTTCATGTTGTTGCTCTGTATATACAAACCTGGTCATTTCTGTGTTCTTTTCCTTGTTCCCTCTGTGTACTGCTGAACCTCACTCAAAAAAAGGAGGAGAGAAAAATAAAAAAAAAGAGGCACTTTGGTGATACTCATTTGCACACAGCAGCAAATGCTGAAGGTCTTCTGAGGCTGTTCTTAAAACCATTTTACAAGCTATTAATGCCATAGAGTAGGGGGAGCTTGGAAGGTGAACATACAGTTCTTTTCCTTGTTCCCTCTGTGTACTGCTGAACCTCACTCAAAAAAAGGAGGAGAGAAAAATAAAAAAAAAGAGGCACTTTGGTGATACTCATTTGCACACAGCAGCAAATGCTGAAGGTCTTCTGAGGCTGTTCTTAAAACCATTTTACAAGCTATTAATGCCATAGAGTAGGGGGAGCTTGGAAGGTGCACATACAGCCCCCCCTCCCCCCCCCAGGTTCCAAAAACTGAACAGTAATATGGAAAAAGTGGAAGCAAATTTGCCAACCGTTTCTACTGCCCTGCTTACGGTGAACGGGACACAACATCAGTTAAACACCCTTCCCTTTACACCGCAGCCTACTCTCGCACGGTGTCCCCACACTTTCAGATGTGGATTTACTGTAAGGGGCTGAAGGGTAGCGAGCTCCCTACCTCTTCTCCCCAGTGACAGCACTAGTTTGCTGTCTATCTGCGTGTGCATGTGTTCCTAATCTTGTGACCCACTAATGGCCAAAGCGTGCCCCCCCTTCCACTTTGCACCGCGTTTGCTTTGCCCACATACATAGACAACACTTACATATGCTTTTTGAAAGGATAACAGGGAGAAACTGGGGAAGAACCAACCCAGAGATGATGTCTAAACCACTGCTTTACAGGTATCTCGCCTGGTTGTTTATTAGCATTCACCTTTAAGCTACAAAAGTGCTGCGAGTGCTACACCGGTTCTTCAGGACAGCTCCCAACGTACCCAGGGGAGCAGCAGGAACACAAGGCTCCCTAACGTGTGGCTCCAGTCTCATGGAGCCACCAGAGCAACAACGGATGTATCTGTGCTGCATGAACTAGTCCCTCTGGGGGAAGACCCCACTTACCGCAGCCCAACAGGCAGGACGCTTCCATGGTCACATGTCCACAGGCACCGGAACGTATCTTCAGGTCCCACCACGAAGAAGAAATTAGCCCATGCACTCTCACTGGGAGTTATTTCTAACCACCAAGAGGATAAGGGAAATCCAGCTTCTCCACAGGATTCATTTTCTTAGCCTACTCTGGCTTTTAGCAGTGCAGAGACTTCCCAGTGGTTCTGGGTTCGACCATAGGTCTGAAGAGCATTACATGATATATTCCTGAACACGACTGTCCAAAAACACGACGCGGTTCCCTGCAAACTTACGTACAAAATCTTTGTTGCTGTCTGACGTTCAATGTTTCTCGCTGTAACGGTTCACCTGCCTCCCCAGGTGAGTGTGAACCCGGGTCTCAGAGTCGTGCTCTGGCTGAACATAATGTTGTGATGTGAATGTAACGAGCGGCCTCACCACCAAGGTTAGCATTCACCAACGCCCCTCTGGGCCACAGCACTCAACGAGATCAGTCCGCACCCTATTTCTTTGCTCAAGCCACGAGAGTTTGTCATAAAGGAGAATATTCCCTTGTCCCCTATCCCAACCTGTCTCTCAAGACAGTTTGAGGAGGCCTTGTCTTTCCTATTCCTTTTCTTTTAGTGCATATGGCAGCATGGTGCTGCTCCGCGTGTGCATGTGTGTGCAAGTAGGCATGCACAGCTAGGGATGGAGGGAAAAAAAAAATAAATCAAGCCCAGAAGCTGACATGGATTAGTGTCTGCCCATGTAAAATTAGTAGCAGGATCCGATGCATGCAAGTCCATTACTGGCCAGTCCCCGTAGCCGAAGGTACCTATTTACATAGCAGCTGCATGAGCATTCTGCGAGTCAGGGCAGTCACATTTTCCCCGTGCCTCGCCAGTGACCGGTAATGAACACGCTGAGCACTGCTGGCAAGGAAAGATTAACCACACTGTGACAGAACGGGCTCGATACATTTTATTGGCAATACTAGTGTCATACTCGGGAACCACAACCCTTTGTCAGACTGTTAGTGTTAACTTGCATGACAAGTATCAGTGACCAACTGTATTTGAAATATAGTTAAAGTGCCTAGAAATAATAGGCATCTTAACAAAAAAAAGAAAGGAAACTCATTCTACCCACTCAAGCCAACCTTTATAGATCCTACATCTTAAGCACAACTGATGTACTGTAATTGTTATGTGGACTTTAATGTAACCTCTACAGCAGCACAGACAATGCAGTTCTCTCATTATGCACATGCTTTAGGATCGTTTATTTTAATGCTTTCAAATAAATATGTTCCATGCAGCACACCGCAATAAATAAGGAGCAGCAACTTTCGTATAGTACATCCATTCATAATGTAAGTCACCATGTGAAACACCACATCTAAAGTCTTTGGCCCAGTCCCATACAGTGAAGCACACCACATCTGCACATAATCATATCTGGCTTCATATGGATTTAATAGGACTATGCCAGAAGGGCAATGTGAGCACAAGTTTAACCAGGGGTTCCTAGCTATTAAATACAGCTACTAAGTAGTTAAAAGGCAACAACTAAACCCATAAAGGGTTGATTTGTCTTTTCTTTCTTACTTTTCAGACAGAAATATAAAGTATGAAAATGCTCTGGATATTTTCAGCCTTGTGTAAAGCAGCGTGATTAATATGGAATGCTTTGAGCAATACTGGCACGTACACTGGCATCAAAAGCCACAGCAAGACTGACTCTGACACTGAACACCGGCGTACTCAGCGGGGGAAAGCTGCTGTTCTGGCGACGGCGGGCGCTGCTCCTTCTCTTCCTCTAGGCCGATAGCTCCACCGCCCCTTCCTCTTCGCTGTCTGCTCGGTTGGCGCGGATTTCCACCAGGGTCCGAGCGAAGCGGGTCCATTCATCGTTGTGCGGAACAGCCAGCTGGGGGAGAAACCGACAGGGAATTATCTCTCTGGCCCAAAATCGAGGCATGTCCTTTGAGGAGAGCTCCTATCGCAACCAGTGCGGTTGTGCACGGTGAAGGACCGAGGCATGGGCCTCACCAACCCGCTGTGGGTTGGTTACGCTGTAAAGTGCTGCCGAGTTCCCAGGACACGTCTGGCAGCTTCCTATTCAGCACCAGCTAGAAGGAGCTTTTACAGTCAGTGGCAGAGAAAAAAGCTGTTATCTGCTTGATTTTAAGGAAAAGTGTCTTGCTGGAGTGTTGTTGCAAAATCTACCCCTTGGTTAAAATACTTCAGATTTTCCAAACTAAGGCGAGGCCTTGATCTCTACACGTATGCCTAACTTTACACACGTGGGCTGGCCATTTGAAGTCAGCGAGGCTGTGCCCAAGTGTAATTGTTTGCAGGACCGAGGTCAATGTGCGCAAGGTAACAGAGCTTTTACAACACTGTATTGAAACTATTTTCCTGAAGTTCATTCAAGCTCTTAATAGTAAAATAAATATATTGTGTTATTTTAGTTACCCTCCTCTATGTTAAGGAATTCACAATTACAAGAAATGCATTATAATGGAAACGTTATACCAACTGGATACTGCATTACTGGTCTGATTTTTTTACTTCATCATGCAAGATCCATTTCCGTTTAATACCATTGATGTTTCTAATGAAGAGCTCTTGAACGTTAGGCTTCAAGAGGGATGTGTAATCTAAATAGCTAAACTTCCAGACAAAACGCTTTAGTGCTATGGCAAAATAATACTGCAGTCATTTCCAGCTGGATCCAACACTGCAATTTCTGAAAGATAATGCAAGCTGGGATTGAGATAATTAAAAAAAAAAAAAAAAAAGGCAAGCAGTTTTCTCAAACTTTGTTTTCATTAACTCAAATTCCAGAGAACAGCAACAAGCATCCAGCTGAACCATGCACATTTTTACTGCCCTCTTGAAGCCCTGTGATCTTGTCCTGAATGTAATATGAAAAAATAACTCTTTCAAGATACTATGCAGTGCTTCGTACTGAAGAAGGTGACTGTTTGGAAACTACGGGGCATACAAAAAACTGCTGTCCACCTCAGCAAATGGATGCCTTTAGACTAAAGAATGAGTATGACCTTAGCTAATCCAGTTCGTTGCACCCAATATTCAATCTGACTCACTTCTTTTAAAACACCACCAAAAATGCCGTGCAGATGGCTGGCTACCTATGTCCATTTGGCACTAGCAGATTATAGGTGCACATGAGGCTGTGTGGTACACTGTACTGGAATACAGTCAAATTATTCTCCTCTCCTTACATCCCAACAGCGATACATGTAACTGGAGACTAAGAAAAGGATCTATGACATGAATTAGCAAGCCCAGCTGGGGAAAGAGCTTGTGTATACGCCCAACGTTAACCACGTGTGAAAGCTCCACATACACTGCTGCAAGTTCAGTGTTAATCATATGGACAGGAATTTGCAATACTGGATCTAAGTATCTCCTCCGTATCTCACTGGCGCCGATGAGTTTTTCAACTATTTTGTATCTAGCTTTGCCTCTACATCCAATACTTTTGGGAAAAACATAGCATGTGTTTTAAAGCTTCCCATGTATAGTACATGTATCAGTGACTCAGCTACATTATGAAGGGCTGGTGTACAACAAGTATGGGGTTTTGCCTGTTGAAACACCGAATATAGTACAGTTCAGCATTTATTGAGGCTACAGACTGAGAAATGCAATCTGTGTGAAAGCCATCTCGGCCCTCAGTAATAGGTGTCGCTGCACTCTCTGGGTTTTCCCGTCTTTGTCTTCCAGTTTTTGCATTTTTCTCCGTTACTTTTCCCAGGAACGGAGACCAGAGTTGCAGGAGTAAATCATTTGAGACAGCTGTCTCTCACGCTCACACGCACAGATGTGGATCTGTGTTATGGTCTTTATTTCAAAGACAGCTCTGTTCTTTCAAAAACCTTCAGCGGAAGGAAATGTAATACCAGAATGGAGGTCAGTGCACCAACACACAAGTACCCGTAGCACAGCTTTGGTCACAGCCACACACCTATAGAAGCTACTGTATAAGTTAAGGGACAGTGCAGAGATCCTTCTATCATAGATGCAACCAAAAAACAGCTGTATAGCAATTTCCCCGTTACTATTGCTTGTGTCCTAAAAGATTTTATTTCTTGTGATGTATACGGCACTATCATTTATCAAACTCTTGAATGAAAACATGAAATGAATCTCACTTATTTCAAGTAGTAAAATCATTAAAGTGGAACAATATCCTAGGCAAAGGGCTTATTAAATTTAATAAAGCCTCATTTCTCCTTGTCTTTTAAAGTCCTAAACAGCATTACATTGTATTAAATGGCTGAAGAAGACAGTATGTCATTCTAAAGAAAAAAATGAAATATATTTATGACATTGAGTTCATTTAATTTCCTTTACTCCACAGCATGGCCACAGACAAATAAAATCAAAGTCCAGCCTATTAAAACAACTTGGTATCTCAACCTTGAAGAGTCTCCCCACAAATGTATGCATTACATGCATTACTGTTAGCTGACGGTGTTAGCAAGACCTGGGCCGTTTTTAATGACTCGGTTCACAAAACAATTGATGATTGAAGTGAATACCTTTAGCACAGAGATGAAAACATTCAGTGCCCACACACAATCTAATTACTTAGAACTTGGTCTTACTTTACCTTATTTAATCTCACGCACTGCATCATGCTTTCAACGAGGGGCCAATCCTGCTAATAGACTGTTAGTAGAATAAACCTCTCTAATATAAATTCCTCAGGGATGTGGAGGGAAACCTTGGCAATAATGAAGTCAAAGGAAAAATTGACTTTTATTCCCCCCACACTTCTTTCTGTGGAGGCCCTAATACCAAACCACAATAGTTACACAGCGAAAGACCACAAATAAAAACAAAAGCATCCACGAACTCCAATTCAAATTCTTGTCTGAATTAATGCTCCCCTTCCAGTCATTTCCCATTCAAGTTCCTTCAGCCGTGCACACTGACACCCACAAGTGTCGGAGGCCTGGGCCTATCTGTGGAACCTCCCTTTCAGCTTCTCTGCACAAGTTTTTTCTGTAAATACCAGGGCAGGGGTGGAAGAAACGAGGAGATACTTCATAGAGGAAGGGCAGAGGATTAGAGCTACCTGGGTGTTCCTCACTCCGTTTGGTGTTTTTGCCATTTTTCTGTCCACTTCCAGTTACTACAGAGCAGCACATGTTAAGTCCCAGCAGTCATGATGTCGACGCAGGACAGAAATGTTCACCAAAGCGTAATAACTTAATATAATAACTTACATTAACATTTGGGTCAGAAAGTTATTTGAATGAACTGACACTAAGGTATGGAGCAGAACAAGAAAATAAATGCTATTAAGTGTTCTCCTTTGATCCCTTCACAATGGAAGGTAAGCGCTACCTGCACGTAATTAATTGACTGAATTACTCACGCTGCTTTTACTTAAATATCATGGTACATTTAGGTTGCATCAGATAATAATTCTAATGAGGAAGACCAGTATTATCAAAGCAAGGTGGTGACTTTAGCCAAACTTTGTCTGTTAAGCTGTTGGAAGAGGGGTACTTTTGTCTTCTGTCTGGCTTTTAAAATACCAAAAGAGTTCAGGCTGCAAGCCTACCGACCTGCAAGGGTGACTACAAGTTTACGCATCCAAATAAACCTGCTGCTGCTTGTGAATTTACACATGCTCAGCTGGTTACAGTGAGAATTTAGTGTAGGAAAACATCTTCTCAGGATGTTAGGATGGTGACCCATTTTAATTGGGTGAAGATATTTTAACTCAGGACAATTAGGGTCTCTCATTTCTCAAAAAAAAAAAAAAAAATCAAAGTTTTCTTTATATCACTATCAACTTTTTAGATCTTCTCCCCCAATTCACTTTCATAAAATATTCTTTCAAAAGCACTCAATATCTGTAAGTATCTGTGCTTCCTACGTGCTCAATAACATATAACAAATAACAAAGACATGTAATATACTAAATACTAGACACATTTAAGATTTTATCATTTAAACTAGTTCACAAACTGTTTTTCTTGCTGATATTGAAAAACTGATTTACGTGATGCAAGCTCTCAGAATTAATTTTTCCACCACCTCCATTACTATGATTTTAGATAAGCAGATTTGGGATAAGAAAAGATAACCCCCCAGCACAGTCCTCCTGGCTGAACGGTGCAGCACAAATAACGTGGCTGGAAAAGGAAAGCCTCCCTCGGCAGCACCTCCCAGCCAGCAGTCTTCAGACCCCCATGCAAAGTGAGCTCAGCTGAGCCCCCAGATTGAGACTGGCTGCGTGCTGCACCCGAGGGCTGGTATGCAGCAGCCACGATTAATACTAAGCACCCGAGAGGTGGATTGGTGCTTTCAGCAAGCCCAGGGGCGGCCTCCAGATAGTAACACTAAATAGATTTCTGCCTATTCCTGCGAGGCGTTAGAGTTATCAGTTTATCTTATTATAGGTAAATAACATTATACCTATGTGGATCTTTCCCAGCCTGCGCTTCCCCAGTCCACCATATGTACACATACCAAGGGAAGGCAACTCTTGACTGGACAGAACAGAATACAAAGGGCCTAGAAAGTGAGATGATGGGATGCAACAGCAGAAGGATTGTAAATTAGGAGCTGAGATCTCCCCGTCCTCTTGTTCTTCTCCTTCCCGTCTGCTAGCGGTGGCTGAATCCTGGCCAGCTAGAAGCCCTTTGTCTCTAGTATCATTCTCACCCTCTGCTTTTTGGGTGGTGATGTGTTGAGCTGTGCTTTCAAGACTGGAGAGGATCTGAACAACATCTCGATTTGGAAAGAAGGGATTTGTCTAGCTGGGCCCCATAGGTCAACTACCGTAGGTCCCCCCAGTTCATTTTTCAGAGTCATGGGGTTACAGCAGACTTTGAAGCAACAAGGCTTGTAAAGTTTAAAGGTAAGATTGTTCCAACTTGT